GGGGGGGGGGGGGGGGGGGGGGGGGGGGGGGGGGGGGGGGGGGGGGGGGGGGGGGTTTACCCCCTTATATAAGCCATATAGGAATGTGCCGTCCCAAAAGGTAGGGTTTTTGCGTCGCTTTTGTCTGAAAACGGGTATAGATTTTGCCCATTTTGATCTTGAATTGGGTATGATGTGCGAAGGAACTACGATTGTGTATCACTGTGTTCGTCGTTTCATTTCCAAATGAACAAGAAAGAGTGTGTAAAGAGAAATATTTTTGTTGCGATGATGACAATTTCTGTTTTATGTAAACTTGTAATGTTGCGTTTTGAGACAACCTCCGGGTGTAAAAACGGGGGTGGAAAATGACCTTTTTTGGTCTAAAATAGGGTCAGGATTTGGAGAATCGCTCGGCACATCCCCACCAACAATTCCCAGGAGTACCCACCTAAGGTTTCATAAGGTAGACTATTCCAGGATCTCAGGTGGTAGAAAACCAAGTGGGTAGAGTAAGCTTTCGAAAAATAACAAAGAAGTACATAAAAGTACTTGCCCTTTTTCTCTCTCTAACCCTCTTTGCGTCGCTGTCCATTTCTGAATGTTTGGAACAGACTATTCAAACCCGCTGTCTCTTGTGGTGCAAGTGTGCAAGTTATATATATAGTTATATAGTTATATAGTTATCTATTCTCAACAAACAAGGGTAAAATTTGGTGGTTTTTTTTTTCAACTTTTTACCGGTGATTCTTTGCGTTTAGCCCCTTCTAGGTTTCCATCTGTTCAATTCAATTCAATTTTATTCACACTTTTATAAAATATTTACATTATATATAGCAAGGTAGGAATACACTATTAAAGAAGAAGAAAAAGGAAAAAAGAAAATTAATGGCTTGGATAGAAGTGTAGGGGGGTCAGAGGAGCTTAGCTTTCGAGCTAACCACCGCTGTACCACCGCTGTGTCATAAAATATAACTTCAAGCCGATAAATGTGGAAAAGTGTCATTCTTAGGACCGCTATTTCAATATCATACGATGAGGTTTCAGACTGCTCACATCATCTTTACTATAAGGTAGATTTAGTAAAGACAACTTGACGATAGTGACGACCTCTATCCGCCTTGATCGTCATCTTGGCTAAAGGCAAACTTATAGCGGAAATGGCGAAGAGGCAAATCGAGTATCGGAAGTCGCATCCCAGCACAAACGGAAACGAACGCGACAGATGAAGCGATTTTGGTATGACCTTGAAAAATGGTTTTGGTAAGTGTTCGTTATTTGTTTTATCAGCCAATGGATGAAAAGATCAAAACATGCGGACTCTTCGTTTCCCGCCAAAGAAAACCCTCATATGGAAAAGGCATTGTTCGATTGGCCAATCGTGTTGCAGTATCACGTCAAAGCGAATTATCGATTGATTTCTAGAAAGTTCTCGGGCATGAAGTTTTTTAACCCGAGCGTTTGCTTAACTAACCAAAAGAAGCGCACTTCTGTATCCGTTCGATAAACCAAATAAATTGCTCTATTTCCGTTCGGTTGATGTTTCTGTTTTGTTCGCGCGTTTTGATTTCAAGGTCATACGAAAATCGCTCCAGCGAGGGAAACGAACGCGAAGAGCGCAAGGGTGACAAACGCACGTGTTCAGTTCGTGCGTTATAAACAGTAGGGAACTCAAGCAAAGACGTTTCTAAGCGACGCGTGTCAACAAGAAGTGGACCTTTTTCATGCATGAGCATGGTTTAGCTCACATTTCGGCCAAATCGTCTCTATGAGAGTAAAGACACTTAGCAATACAGATTTGGTAGCGTCAAGTCATATTATAAGAAAATTTACGGCATAAATTTTAGGTGAGTGTTTCTAAGTATGTATATAATAATGGAAAAGGCCTCACTCTTGCGCTTTTGCGCTTGGCTAGCTTCTCTCCCAAGTTACAGGTGATGATAGATACATGAAGTACCTCGAGAGAGGGTTGGTCATTGGTGTAATTATGCTCCTAATCGGGTTTATCAGCAGGTTTATCAGGAGGCAACCAGTTGTCTATATGTTCAGCAACAAATTCTGTAAAGCCAAATTCAGTAAGTAGTTCTGAGGCGAAATGGCCAAATGAATAACCAAGTACAGCTTTAATTATGCCGTCAAGGACTGGATTAGGGAAAAACAACTGGCCAACTATCATTCCACCAATACTTCCACCGGCACGGAAAGAAGCTGACAAAACACTATCAATGACTTTCTTGATAAGCTTCTTTCTGTCCGTTAAGACAATCCTGTCATTCCATTTTTGTTTAGCTGACATAATTTCTCTATAAGCCAGATTACCTTCTGCGAAAATGGTCACCAATGCTCCACCCCAGACACCGATTCCTTTCGGAAGAGCTGCTGCAACGGGCTTTAACCACGACGCAAGAAGTATAATGTCGTCGCCAAACTGTTCAAAGAGTGCTTTTGGAAGTTGCTGAAGTACATGTTTGAGAGAATTATATCCACCGCCAATAACCGCACGAAAATGATGAACAGCAGCGGTCACTTGAAGGCTGATTTGTAAATCGCAAAAGCACCACATGATTAAGGTCTCGCAGTTATTCTTCTCTAAATCGTACCATTTTTCTTTTTTCCTAGCCCTTTCCCTGGCTCTTTTAGCCCTTTCCTCTGGAGGATACCGGAGCAGTTCCTCTGGCCACACAACTCTTGCCACCTCGTTTCCTTCCGTTTGCAGCTTGGCTTCGCTGACGTACTCTTCAATACACATCTCCTGAACCGCTGCCAGTTGTTCAATGGGAGAACCACAGCCTGAGATACTAGGGATCAACTGAGCGGTGGCTTTCCATGGTGTATTGTAGTAGTGCACAATCAGCGGCTTGCCTTCACCGTTGAAACCGACGCAGATAAAATGATGCTCGTACGGAACCAGCCCAAGGAAGGAATCTTTTCTTACCAGATGATCGCCAAGTCGTACGTCCTTAAAGCTGTGAATTTGTTCTCTAGCTTGCAGTTGCCATTGCAGAAGATGTTTTTGCTGATCCGTTGAAAGTCCCTCAATCCAGTTCCAAATCTCTACAGAGGCTCGCTCCATGTCTTGTCTAGAAGAATTGGTCAGAAACGAAAGTTCAGCGCCGTTTCTCCTTCGGCTGCGAGGCTGGAGGCTCTGTCTGAAGACTCTATCTGAAGACTTTAATTTATTTACCTCTGACAGGAATTTCCCCAGTCCGCGAACAGCAGACGCATTTCCGGTCGTCGTCATGCGTCTGCTGTTGGCAGGCTAGGATTTCCCTATCTAATTTTAGAAAAATTCGTCACATTCCACTGAGATTATAAATATTTTCCGTGCCTTCAAGTGACTCCAAATACGTACATATGCTGCCTGATCTAAAGCAACAAAATCAGTTAAGACCTTGGAAATGTTTTCGAGGAATCCTCACACTAACCGCCTTGTGAGAGTACGTTAAAACCCCTTGATGTTTTCCTACCTCGGCTACGTCACCAAACGTTGTCTTACCCCGTTTAGTACTTAACCAGAGGCTTAGTTTCGACTGCGGCCCTTCACAAGCATTCTGTTTGTGACCTTTAGGCCACTTCAGCGATACCATTATAAACACTTTCGTACCTTATTAAACCAAAAACGTAGCAAGCATTCGAATAAAATATGCCAAAAAGATGATGCACTATGATCATTGTTAGAAACGGGTTTCGGAGATTTTAAGGACCTTATACCTTATTTAAACCACTAAAGAAGAATGAAGACTTCTCGGTTCAGTAATGAACATCGATTAATTTTCAGCGTTCCTTGAAATGTTTGCACAAGCAGGGGTTTTTCCCGCTATACTTGATTGGATAAAAAAAACAAATGAGAAACACATGAAACACGTTTTATGTACCCAAGGCGTTTAGCCCCTTCTAGGTTCCGATCTGTTCAATTCAATTCAATTTTATTCACACTTTTATAAAATATTTACATTATGATATAGTAAGGTAGGAATACACTAATAAAGAAGAAGAAGAAGGAAAAAAGAAAATTAATGGCTTGGATAGAAGTGTACGGTGGTCAGAGGAGCTTAGCTTTCGAGCTAACCACCGCTGTACCACCGCTGTGTCATAAAATATAACTTCAAGCCGATAAATGTGGAAAAGTGTTATTCTTAGGACCGCTATTTCAATACCATACGATGAGCTTTCAGACTGCTCACATCATCTTTACTATAAGGTAGATTTAGTAAAGACAACTTGACGATAGTGACGACCTCTATCCGCCTTGATCGTCATCTTGGCTAAAGGCAAACTTATGGCGGAAATGGGGAAGAGGCAAATCGAGTATCGGAAGTCGCAATTCCAGCACAAACGGAAACGAACGCGACAGATGAAGCGATTTTGGTATGACCTTGAAAAATGGTTTCGGTAAGTGTTCGCTATTTGTTTTATCAGCCAGTGGATGAAAAGATCCAAACATGCGGACTCTTCGTCTCCCGCCAAAAAAACCCTTATATGGAAAAGGCATTGTTCGATTGGCCAATCGTGTTGCAGTATCACGTCAAAGCGAAGTATCGATTGATTTCTAGAAAGTTCTCGGGCATGAAGTTTTTTCACCCGAGCGTTTGCTTAACCAACCAAAAGAAACGCACTTCTGTATCCGTTCGATAAACCAAATAAATAGCTCTATTTCCGTTCGGTTGTTGCTTCTATTTTGTTCGCGCGTTTTGATTTCAAAGTCATACAAAAATCGCTCCAGCGAGGGAAATGAGCGTGAAGGGCGCAAGAGTGACAAACGCACGTGTTCAGTTCGTGCGTTATAAACAGTAGGGAGCTCAAGCAAAGACGTTTCTAAGCGACGCGTGTCAACAAGAAGTGGACCTTTTTCATGCATGAGCATGGTTTAGCCCACATTTCGGCCAAATCGTCTCTATGAGAGTAAAGACACTTAGCAATACAGATTTGGTAGCGTTAAGTCGTATTATAAGAAAATTTACGACATAGATTTTTGGTGAGTATTTCCTAGTATGTATATAATAAAGGAAAAGGCCACACCTCTGTTTAAGTTTAAGTTTAAGTTTAGTGATACTTTTTACCAATGCACAACAAAAGGAAATATATAAATATATATAATATATATAAAAGTACAGTTGGTAAAGGAAAGCAATAGGGGGAAACTGAATTCCAATATAAAAACTGCTCTCCAAAAATAAAAGATAAAACAATAAAGAATAAATTATCTAATACGTAACTATACATTATATAAAAAAGACTAATTAAACTACTTGGATATTAAATAATCAAAAAACGAAAATCCGAAATCAGTAAGAAATAATAAAATATGGCTATTAACAAAGATAATTAAGCAATAAAATTTTAAAAGAGTTCAAGCTGGAAGCAGACAACGGAGTTTGGTAAAGAGTTCCTGTTATTAACGTAACGATTAAGAAATGAAAATTTAAAATATTTTGTCCTTGCTGCTCTAGGCCTAATTTTAAAGTCATGGTTACTCCTAGTTCTTCTCGGGCCAGTCAGATCCACATATGTGGTATAGTCAATATCACAATAGCCATGAATTATCTTGTAAAGTTGAACCAAGCAAAGGTATTTCCTTCTAAGCTCCAATGCTCACCACTTTAGTTCAGTGAGCCTTTCAGAGTAAGATTTATCAGATCCACATATCAATCGAGTAGCATGACGCTGGATGGATTCAATACTGTGTAATAATGGTTGACGTGTGTCGCTCAAAAACGCCTTCGCGCTTGGCTAGCTTCTCGCCTAAGTTACAGATGATGATAGATATGTGAAGTACCTCGAGAAAGGGGCCCTCAGTCATTGGTGTTAAGTACTCTCCTAATCGAGTTTATCAGCAGGTTTATCAGGAGGCAACCAGTTGTCTATATGTTCAGCCAGAAATTCTGTGAGGCCAAATTCAGTGAGCAGTTTTGAGGTGCAATGGCCTGATAAATAACCAAGTACAGCTCCAATTATGCCACCAAGGACTGGAATAGGGATTAACAACTGGCCAACCATCATTCCACCAATACTTCCACCGGCACGGAAGGGAGCTGACAAAACACTATCAATGACTTCCTTGATAAACTCCTTTCTGGTTTTTATGACAATTCCCTCCTTCCATTTTTGTTTAGCTGACTTAATTTCTCTATAAGCCAGAAAAGCCTCTGCGAAAATGGCCACTACTGCTCCACCCCAGACACCGATTCCTTTCGGAAGAGCTGCTGCAACAGGCTTTGCCCTCATAAGTCGCATCACCGCAAGAATTATGTCGTCACCAAACTGTTCAACTACTACTTTTGGAACTTGCTGAAGTGACTGTCTGAGAGAATTATATCCACTGCCAGTAACTTCACGAAGATATCGAACAGCAGTGGTCACTTGAAGACTGATTTGTAAATCAGAAAAGCACCACATGATTAAGGTCTCGCAGTTATTCTTCTCTAAATCGTACCATTTTTCTTTTTTCCTAGCCCTTTCCCTGGCTCTTTTAGCCCTTTCCTCTGGAGGATACCGGAGCAGTTCCTCTGGCCACACAACTCTTGCCACCTCGTTTCCTTCCGTTTGCAGCTTCGCTTCGCCGACGTACTCTTCAATACACATCTCCTGAACCGCTGCCAGTTGTTCAATGGGAGAACCACAGCCTGAGATACTAGGGATCAACTGAGCGGTGGCTTTCCATGGTGTATTGTAGTAGTGCACAATCAGCGGTTTGCCTTCACCGTTGAAACCGACGCAGATAAAATGATGCTCGTACGGAACCAGCCCAAGGAAGGAATCTTTTCTTACCAGATGATCGCCAAGTCGTACGTCCTTAAAGCTGTGAATTTGTTCTCTAGCTTGCAGTTGCCATTGCAGAAGATGTTTTTGCTTATCCGTTGAAAGTCCCTCAATCCAGTTCCAAATCTTTACAGAGGCTCGCTCCATGTCTTGTTTAGAAGAATTGGTTAGAAAACGAAAGTTCAGCGGCGTTTCTCCTTCGGCTGCGAGGCTGGAGGCTCTATCTGAAGACTCTATCTGAAGACTTTAATTTATTTACCTCTGACAGGGATTTCCCCAGCCTGCGAACAGCAGAGGCATTTCCGGTCGTCGCAATGCGTCTGCTGTTCGCAGGCTAGGATTCCCCCGTTTAATTTTAGAAAAATTCGTCACATTCCACTGAGATAATAAATATTTTCCGTGCCTTCAAGTGACTCCAAATACGTACCTATGCTGCCTGATCTAAAGCAACAAAATCAGTTAAGACCTTGGAAATGTTTTCGAGGAATCCTCACACTAACCGCCTTGTGAGAGTACGTTAAAACCCCTTGGTGTTTTCCTACCTCGGCTACGTCGCCAAACGTTGTCTTGCCCCGTTTAGTAACTTAACCAGAGGCTTAGTTTCGACTGTGTTGTCGAGTATTTCCTACCGGCCTTTCACAAGCATTGTGTTTGTGACCTTTAGACCACTTCATCTATACCATTATAAACACTTTTGTACCTTATTAAACCAAACACGTAGCAAACATTCGAATAAAATATGCCAAAAAGATGATGCACTATGATTATTGTTAGAAACGGGTTTCGGAGATTTTAAGCACCTTATGCCTTATTTAAACCACTAAAGAAGAATGAAAACTTCTCGGATCAGTAATGAACATCGATTAATTTTCAGCGTTCTTTGAACTGTTTCCACAAGCAGGCGTTTTTCCCGCTGTTGTTGATTGGATAAAAAAATGAGAAGACATCACATGGAAGACGTTTTATGTACCCAAGGTTGGGTTTTAAAAGAAAGTATTATAGAGAGGAGAAGTATGACGTCACGTCACCATGGTACAACTATTTGTGGATGACAACAAAACCAACGACAACGGCGAAAGGACGGAAGGAGAACGGCAAAAAAGTTAAATTGTTTTTATTGACAAAACAACAAATTTGCACGTGCATCACACTTTTTTGTACACTTCTTTGCCGTCGTTGCACGACTGCGACATGAAACTTCCTAATTTCACACGCTTGCTTTATGGAGTAGGTGAACACAACACAAAAGTTGTACTTTTCCTCTTCTTAACTTAGATACGGTCCTTTCGGATTCAACCCGAGGAAATTTCGCCAATATTTGCCAAATTAAATGAAATTGAATAAGTTCAATGAAGTTTAAGCGGTGTAAATTCACTCTTTAAGTGAAGTTTTCGGTTTGTTGTCATCCAAAAATTTTGCTACCATGACAACGTTACGTAACGACTTCTGATCCACCAATTAAGCGGACACCCCCTATTAAGCGAACACTAAGCCAGGTCCCGAAATTAACGTCTTGTATTTCCCGTTATGACGAACCCCTATTCAGTGGACACCTCTATTAGCGGACGCGGACACTAAAATACGTTGTATTTGCCTAATTTCTATTGTTAAAAACCTCTATTAGGAGGACACCGGACTGAATTGACAATAGTAGTATTGGATTACGTCATTGAAATACGTATTGTAGTCGATTAATAAAGATAAATTAATACATTTAGATGGCAATAAACTGTAGATGAGACCGATATCCGGCCGTATGGTTGTCATCCACGATCAAAGTTCACACAAAAGTCTTGCCCAAAGTACAGCACTTCTTGGAACTTTATCACAGTACAGAGTAACCGTTGAATATTAATCTTTAACAAAAATCCCGCTATGGTTATCCATGATTGTATTTAAAAAAATTGAGTTAATTTATTATCTCAGGTAATTTTTATTTTTTCCTTTGTTTTTGGTTATGGTAATATATGCTCATGAAGTTGAAACGAAGAAAAGAAATTACCTGAGAGAGAAAATTAACTGCAACATACACACAACGTTGTGTTAAAGAAGGACTATCTGTTTTTTAACTGTTTCCACAAGCGGGGTTTTTCCCAGCCATACTGAGTTGACTGGATAATAATTTTTGAGAAAACATCACATTTTTCACTACTTGTTTTTCTTATCTTTTAATTTATCAGTGGTCACGTCCTTGTGTTTTTGAAAAATTCAAGACTCAGTTCATTTTTCTTTTCATTTGTCATCAGCACTGATGTACTTTTAATTTAGACCGCCTGAATTGATACAGATGCCGATCGTCATTGCAGCTGAACTAAGTTCAACAGTCGTTAGACTGTGACACCTGTCAACATCTACTATTTTTAAACAATATCATGGGTTTCTTTCACGTACCCTTCTAGTTGATATTAAGCTGATTTAGCAACAGAGCGGGAACGTCAGTTGACGACGGAGCGCGCAAATCAAACAACTGGTTTGACCAATGGCAGAGCGACAAATTTAGGAACCGGAAGTCGCATTTAGTTCTTTAGCGCGCTTTCCCGTCGTCAACTGACGTTCCTGTTCTGTTGCTAAATCAGCCTATTCAGGAAAGGATGGAGGCAAGGCCAACAATTTAACGTCACCGACCAAAGCCCAAAGATGCGATCGTTTGAACTGAAATAAGGTTTGTTTGGATCACACCCACACAAATGGAGCAGCCAGCATAACAATCTTACTGGAGTTTTTAGAGACCTTGGTTACTGGTACGGTGGGGGTCTGAACTCGCGGCCTTTCGCTCAGCAGTCTGACACTCTCCCAACAAAGATAACTGGGAGGCGGTTCAGTAGTTTTCATTTGAATCGTCACGCTTTAGCATTTTGTCTGCAGACGCAAAAGTTAGAACCACCTTGTAGAGCATAATAAAGAGGATCACAGGAAAGAACTGCACGATAGCTTTCATTTGAATCAGGCTCACACTACAGGATTTCATCCACAGACTCAAAGTTAGAACTATCTTGTGCAGCATAATAAACTGTACTACAACAAAGTACTGCTCGGTAGCTTCCACTTTTAAGGATGTCATTCACACACTCAAAAATAGAACCACCATGTACAACATAATAAACAGTACCACAAAAGAGTACTTTCATTTGACTGGTCACACTTTAGGATTCCATTGACAAACTCAAAAGTTAGAACCTGGTAGAACCTTATAAACAGCACCGCAGAAATTTCTTTGAGAGGTAACACCTTAGCATTTCATCCACAGATTGACCAAAAAGTTAAAAACCACTTCAATCAGCGTATAGACTCAGAAGTTCGACATAAAGCCCCTGAACCTTCTTCTCCCCTTCTACAGGTCTTTTTCATGATAGGCCGTTTCACTTTTACTGCAGACCCGTCGTTCGTTGTGCCTAGATGACATCCAGGGAACTAATTATGAGCAGTACCGGGATGCATTGCAGCCTCAACCTCATCGGCAATCCACTCGGAGTCCATTCGTAGTGAAACCGGAAATTTGGAAGGAGGTAGCTATGATTCGCCACAAGAAATCCCGGATATATCGGGTCAAGGTCCACGTGCACTGTAAGCGAGTTTAGAAAATCACTCAGTGTCAGTCTGAACGAGGTCACAGAGTATTCTCGTCCCACTAAGCACGCTTCTGACTTTAGCAAGTTGCTTTAGCAAGTTGCTGTCAAAGCCGGTTTACCTACTACTTGGAGCAACAGGGAGTCGCTGGAACAGTTACTGAGGGACATTTGGGCATTCGGGTTCGCTTTCGCCTCTCACATGTCCGATTAGTGGTCTATAAAGATGGAGGAGTACAGATGTCTGACATAAAGATACTTAAAGTAAAATTAAGACTATATGGCAGAACTCCCCTGGAGGAACGAGCCTCTGTCCGTTCTCCCCGGCTTTTAAAGCAAATTGATTGATAGTAGTCCAGATTCCAATTCGTGTGTTTTATCACATGGTTTTAAGGCAACAAAGAACGTGTGATATATCACATTAAAACGGGGCAAGAAGTTTGTGTGGAAACAACGTAAATTTGCGCGACGGGGAAAATGGCCGCTAATCTCTATCTTTAACCCCATAACAAATTGTTGACCGCAGCTACCGTAAGTCTGGAGCAGCATTCATGGCCGCTGAACCGAGAAACAATCTACATTAATCGAATATTTTAGTTCCCCGAAACTTGTAAATCATCCTCTATTTTTGGATGAGCATTTTATTCTTAGTTTATTGAGCTAATAGCAACCCAGTCCCCTTAAGGGAAGAAAAGAGGCATTTATACTGTATACGTACTTTATCTTTTTATGTTCTAACCTTAATTACAACCTTAATGAAATGCTGGTAACTAATGTTATTAAAATAAAACTACTAGTAGAAATACGAGGTAAGGTTTTTTAAGGTCGTCTGTTCCAGACTTCCAGGATTTCAGGTGGTAGAAAACCAAGTGGGTAGAGTGAGCTTTTGAAAAATAAAAAACAAAGAAACAAAAACATAAAAGTACTTGCTTCTTCTCCCTCTCTACTATCCCTTTCGCAGATATCCACTTTCTGAAAGTTTGGAACCGGCTAAAAGCCTTTGTTTTAAAGCCATATTCTTAACAAACAAAAGTCTTAAAAATTCGCGACTTTTTACAATTTTTACCCATGAATCTTTGCATTTAGCCCGTCTACCTACCTATTTGTACAATATCATAGTTTTTTAATATAACTTCTCAGTAAACCGAAAGAGATGTTAGATCCTTGGGACTTCTATTTCAACAGACTGATCACATCATATTAGGCAGATTTAGCAAAGACCACGTGACGACAGTGTCGATGGCACGCGCAGATCTGAAGACCGCCCGACCAATTGTGGAATGATGGCGAAAATGGAGGAACAGCAAAGCGAGCACCAGAAGTCGCGTTCAGTCCTTTCCGCGCGCTCCTGCGTTCTTTCACGTTGCGGTCTCGGCTCTGCTAAATTTGCCTCCCAAAACCAACTGGAAGGAACACGAAAGATACTGAAGGAAACGAGGCCCCCTCTCTGACAATTCAGCTTTCTTCTTACAGAAGCTTTTGCTTATTTGAACAATGTATACAAAATGGTCACATTAGCTATGTACATTAACCCCCTGAGTGACCAACATCAATTTTCTCCTAACAATATTGAGAAAAAAGGGTTACGAGAATTAATAAAATGATCAGTAGGAAAATGCTTGATCTTTCAATAAATTCCAGCTCTCAGCTAATTTTTCTAGGAAATGTATCGAGATCAGTTTGGAGAATCTGTATGTAGATATTAGTGCAAGCCTGTGCACAGGGGCTTGTACACAGGCTAATTAGAGCTTAAAGGTTTATAAATAAGAAATCATGTTACAGTTAAAAAGAAAACGTACAAAAAATTAGGCTAGAAAATATTGCCTTAAATGGTAAGTAAATCTGCCAACAAGATGGCCACCGACTTGACCAATAAAAAAAGACAACAAAACTGAGTTGTAAACTCTAAACCCACGATCACGAGATATTACAATTGGGATGATCGTTACTAGGCTGGCCGCCGCTTTTTGAACATTTTCTACATTTTCTCGCAGTTTCTTCTCATACTCTAGCGGGTTTCCCCAAGCACAAAGAAGATATTTTTCCAGTCTAGGGTAACTTTTTTTGCCAAAAAATGGAGGGTCAGGTAAAGTGCAGTGACTGCATAAAACGCTGGTAATTTCACTTTACATAAAAGAACGTGAAAACTATCCACAGATAGATCGAGTATCCCCTTCACATTCAGATAGATTGTAAGAAATAAAACTATAAAAGCGTCCTCACCGACCCCTTCCTGTAATGAAAGTTCTAGAACAATCTTCAAAACAAAAATGCTTTCCGGAGTCGCTTGCAAACTCACATTGGAGTTGCATATGCACCACATGACGAACTTCTCACAGTTGTTGTTTTCTGTCACATGGTAATGTGCTTTACCAAGTCTTATCAGCGCCCTCCATGTAATTTTCTCTATACTGTAATGCCTTAGCCTATCTGGCCACAAGACTCGTGTCACCTCCATTCCCTGCTTTTGGAGATTATCTTCATCGATGTAGTCTGGAAGGGCCATAATATTCACTCTTGCAAGGTTTGGATGTGTCAGTGAACAGTTGAACTTGTACCGACAAGTTGGTCGCCCTTTTGTATCGCACAATATTAACGACTAATTGGTTCTCTTGTTTGGAGGTAGGGATGCAGAAACCTTCTCTTCCGCGAGGAAGGCAATTTGTTGAATTGTTTCCAGCTAAGCGGTAAAAATATGGGTATTCCTGTGTCAGATGTTTGTGCGTCTGCCTGTCTGTCCTCTTGAGGACGGTTTATGCCGCATTTCTAATTTTCCTTTTGCTCTTTGACATGCGCTTTTCCAGGCAGGAACCTTTTAAGAACCGGAGTAGAAATAAACTTACCAACACCGTCACTGCACGTGCTCTCGCCGTTAGTTATTCTCGTCTCGTAAGAACTTCTTCAGTCACCCTTAACCACTGATCCAGATTCAGGGACACCGAACGACTGTTTTCTATATCATATCTACCCGAAGAAGCACAAGTCCAAGAAAGGCTAAAAATTTTCTTAATATTTTTTTCCAATTCATCTTAAAGGCTCTTTTCAAAAGTCAGAACTGGAAAATGGGCTTTTTAAAAAGAGATTTCGTTCGAAAAACCCATCATCCCCATGCATGTATTTGAAAAGTGACTGAAAATTTGGACAGCTTTGATTAAAAATGCCATTCTAAATACGACGGGAATGGCCGTTTAGCCGGCCAGTTCTGAACAATTTTTTTTTTGTTTTGGCTTTTATTGGAAAAAAAGGGATCCCTAAAATGTTTTGTTTCTAAAACGAAACGGAGAGAGGGATCAGAACTGAATCTTTCGTTACCGTATGCCTTTTAGTAGATGGCAAATAGAGCCGCCGGGAGCGATGAGATTATTCGGATAGCCTGCGAAAACATCCGTTTCTCCTCGCTCTTCGCCGATGGGGACGTTTCGCGGGGAGGAACGTCTGCGACTCAGCGACAGAAATTCCATACTGATGACATAAAATCTGTCCGGAATCCGGTCAGAAGAGCTGATTGGTCGACGGAGTAGATTCATTGTTATAGATATTGTTTACGAATGACAGACAAAAGACAAAAGGCCACAAAGGTCAAATGTAAACGCGAAGAATCTGTAACAAAACATTCAATATTTGAAGAATATAGTCTTCTCTAGAAGAAGCATTTGAGTTTTGCTGGGGCTCGTTGGCTTATGAACACAACCCTTTACCAAAATCGACCAGAAGACACGTAAAATTGGACAAATTTGTATTTGGAACCCCATGACTACCGGATTTATTATGTAAACATTGGATTTCGTCATCAGTATGGAATTTCTGCCGCTGAGTCGCAGACGTTCCTCCTCGCGAAACGTCCTCGGCGGCGAAGAGCGAGGAGAAACGGATGTTTTCGCAGGTTATTATTCGCAGGAATGTTGATCATATTTAAATACCTAGTACGGGCGTGAATTCTCCGCGACGGAAAGGGCCTCGAGAAAGGGACATAGGAAAACAGTTGCGCCATAATTGTGCATAATATAGCTGTTGGCCAACGAGCGCGTGAGAAATCCCTCAGTTATTGGAAAAGATTTTTTGCGTAGATGTCGTGATCTCACTAGCCTGAAAGTCAACTTTTATTATACCACGTAAATATCTCTATCTCTATTTTTATCCCCCCTAAAAAAATAACTTAATAGTTCACTCCGGCTTTGACCATATAATTACAGCAGTAGAGATGGGAAATGAAAACCTAAAGTAAAAGTACTGAGTCTTGAAATTTTCCACAAACAAAAGAACGCGAGTAGTGATAATGCAAAAAAGAAAACAAATATATAGACCTTTCTCAAACAACCCACAACCTTGTGTACATGACGCGTATTCAGACATGCGATATCTTCTCAATGTTTTATCCAATCAACTAAAGCGGGAAAAATCCCTGCTTGTGAAATTGAAATTTGAAAAAAACTTAACATTAATTGATGTTTGCTATCCGGCTACCTTTCATTCTTTCGTGGAGACTTTAAATTATCCGTCTCTAACAATTTAAATCCCTTTCATTGACTGTCCCGTTAGTGATTATGCATTATCAGTTTCTTACCATATTTTATTCCAATTTTTGTCACGTCAACTGTCACGTTTCCGTCTCTTTTTGGTTTACGCAAAAAATAACAGTTTTGAATCATAGGACCACAGGAAGTGACCAAAAGGTCACAAACAGAATTCTCGAGAAGGGTAGAAAAACACCAGATAGTTGAAACCTACTCTCACGAGAGCAATGTAAGGATTCTTTCGAAACATTTAAAAGGTCTAAACTGATTTTGTTGCTATGGATCGGGTTACATGCTTCCTTTTCTAACGTACCGGTATTTGGAATCAAGATATCATTTCATGTCCCAAGCGCAGTACTCAAGATTGGCATTTTTTTCTAAAAAAAAAAAGGAAATCCCCCTTTGGGAGAAGAGCAAATTCTAAATACGGCCTCCAGTGTTACAGCTTTCTAGTCGGTTGAAGACAATTCATTGAAGACACTAGACACCCTTGCACTCGCATTTTTTCACGGCAATTCTTGATAGACAAGGCATGGAGCTGACTTCTTTGAACTGGAAGTGGATTGAAGGACTTCAACCTGAAAGGCGACAACGCATTTTGCAATGGCAGTTGCAAGCAAGAGAGCCAATTCGCAGTTTTAAGGACATAAAAATTGGCGATCATCTTGTCATAAAACGTTCCTTCCTTAATGGGCTGATTCCATACGAGCATCATTTCCTCTGCATCGGCAACGACGAAGGCAAGCCAAAGATTACCCATTACTATAATACCGCGTGGCACGCACTCAAGCAGTTGTTTCCGGATAGCCTCGGCTGTGGATCGGCCATTGAACAACTAGGAATCGTTCAAGAGATGACCCTTCCACACGAAGACTTCATCAAGAGTGAAACTGAACTTCAAGCAGAAGGTAATGGAGTAGAAAGAATCGTCTGGCCAGAGGAACTACGGCGATACTCTGCAGAGGAAGTCGTTGAAAGGGCTGAGAAAAGGAAGGGAGAAAAATGGTACGACTTGGCGAAGAATAACTGCGAAACTTTCGTCATGTGGTGTTTGTGTGATCTACAAATAAGTTTTCAAGTGACCACCGCCGTTCGAAAAGCGCTCGAGCTAGGTAGTGCTACAATAAAAGCTCTGAGACAGGCCCTTCAGCAAGTTCCAAAAGTGCTTGTTGAACAGTTTGGCGACGACCTTTTTCTCGCGATGATGCAGCTAATAAAGGCAAATCCCGTTCAAGCGGCTCTTCCCGAAGGAATTGGTTTTTATGTCGGGGCGGCGTTGTCTATTTTCATAGAATTTTGTCTGGCTTATAATGAAATTACGTCAGCTTATCAAAAATGGAAGGAGGGAATTATCATAAAGACCAGAGAGAAATTTATCAAGGCAGTTATTGATAGTGTTCTGTCAGCTCCTTTGCGTGCCGCCGGAAGCATTGTGGGAATAATGTTTGGCCAGACCTTAATCCCTATCCCAGTCCTTGGTACCATCATTGGACCTGTCCTTTGTGCTTTAGCAGGCCACATCATCTCAAAAATGCTCACTGATTTTGGCTTTACAGAATGTCTTGCTCAAATGATCGACTACATTTTGCCTCCAGATAAACCGACTGATAAACTGGATTAGGAGCAATTTAAGGGGCACCAATGACTAAATGCCAATTTTTCAGGGTATTTCATATACTCATCATCATCTTCTCTAAATTTGTATTGCTTGGATAAGATGTTTGCCATCTTTTGAACAGAGTGCAAATTCGGCAGTTTGCTGTATTTTTTCTAACTGACTTTAATTTGTTTACAAGACTTTTAGCTTTAAGTCTTTTCCTGGCTAAGATTAAGTATAAGATTCTTTAGTAATTCTCTTTTTTGTGTGATGTCCTTTACCGTCATGGTGTCAATGAGAGCTTTGTCTCTATTACCAAGAAAGTTTTTGCAAAGTTCCTCTGTAATAGTGATGACATATACACCACAATCATAACCTGTGGAATTAGCAAATAAATGAGCTAAGGTGAAATTTTGCTCTCATTTACACTTTGTGGATCTTGTGTCTTAAAGGGGAGTCGACTGACATATTGGTCAAGTGTCTCTCAAGACTAAAACTTCACTTGGGGAGCAAGGGATGGAACAGTGGTGACAGCACTCGCCTCCCAGCAATATGGCCCAGGTTCAAATCCCGGCATTGGCGCCGTATGTGGGTTGAGTTTGTTGTTGGTTCTCTCCTTTGCTCCAAGAGGTTTTTCTCCGCGTACTCCAGTTTTCCCCCCTCCTCAAAAACCAACATTTCCAAATTCCAATTTGATCAGGATTCGGGTAAACGAAGAACCACTTTGTGGATGTGCTACCTCCAAATCATTATTATTTTTATTATTATTATTATTATTATTATTATTATTATTATTATTATTATTGTTATTATTATTATTATTATTATTATCATTATTATTACTGAAACTACTGTAGATCCTACCTGTCCATTTAGTAAACTTTGTCCATTGATATTACTGTACATGTTACACTTTTTATTAAAATCATAATATATCAATGCATAAATTTAAATTATAGACTAGTGAAATTATCCAAATTAATTAAAATAACCCACCATTTTGCTGTTGGGGGCACTTGTCTTGAATGAATGATGGAGTGTCCTTGACTGCAATAGGAGATTTAAACTGATCAGTGATACAAGCTATTCCTGCTATTCCTACTATTCTCACCAGTGTTCCAGCCAGAGTGCGCCATTGCGTGAATCCCGCAAAAGATCAAAGATGGCCCCCAACAAAAGAGTTCAAGGGCCATTACGGCCCTTTCCTTATTTAATTCCCCGGGCTTTAAAATGTCTCTGTTACTTCAACTACAATAATTTTCCAGTTAAACAGAATTTTTTAATCCAAAGAACAACAAATTTAATTTACTTTTAAAAACTTCCCAACTGTTTCTTCTCTTTTGCATAATAAAAAAAGATAGGGGAATATGGGCCCTTTCTTGAAAAATCTGGCCCCCAAGAGTGGGTTGTAGGGACCACTTTGGCCCTCAAGCAGAATTTTCTGTCTGGAACACTGTCTCACCCACTGAGAGATGCCAACCTCTCATCTGGAGATCAAAAATCTGGAGGACTTTCTCTTTTTCACTACCCCCTACCCCCGACTGTCAACCCGAAACCCCTCTTCCCCCAACAAGTTGACCCAGCCCAAATGGGAATGGCTTAGGATATATGAAGTCTTACATGAATTACATACTATCAAAATTCACAATCATCGTTTTAATGACAAAAGTGTGGAAAAAGTCTTTGTTAGAGACTATACTAAATATGTGCAAAAATGCCCCAGACAACGTACTATAGATGAGAAACAAAAATTTCAAAAATTTTGAGGGGAAAATGGGCTAAATCTCAAACTAAAGCACAGAAAAGTTCAAAAGATGATTTAATCCAGGAGATTGGGTAACCAGTATGGGAGAGCGGGATATTGGTGCCATATCCGGGAGATTCCCAGATAATCTGGGAGGGTTGGCATATATGTGCGGCTTTAGACCTTTCAAACGACTGACACAAAAGCTGCGTGCAAAAGTAAGGCTCTTTTGCAGCTATTCATATGTTTTGTGCATTTGACATTAGGGTCAGGACTCAAAAAGAGTCCCATCTAGTTGTCCAGGACAGATAGGATTTTCTTGCTGGACAAATTAACTTTTAAAATTCCCTGGGCAAGGGTCTAAACAAATCATCTTGTTACTTCGGCGGAGCGCGAAGTAAAGGATTCGCGACGCTCAGGAATGTATCAAAGTTGCAATTTTTTGACAAGATTGGGCAAGCAAAGTCTGTAGGTTTTCGGTTCTATTCGGCTATTTGACGAAGTGAGAGCCGAATTAGTTCGAGATATCTCGAGATCACTTCGATTTCTTTGATTTATTCTTTAACTTTTTCGAGGAAGAAAGAATTATTATTTTGGCTTTTCCGGGGTTTGAACCGACTCACCTGTGTGACCCGTCAGATCAGAGGAGACTCTTAGTTGAGGGATTAGCCGATTGCGCTACTGCGACCCAAGGTAGTTTGGGATATGAAAAATAGTTATGAAATGATGTACTAGTTTCGGGACAAGATTGGGCGTGCAAGTTCGTGACTTTTCTGCTTGTTTCAACTATTTCACGAAATGAGACCGGAATACTTCGTGATATCTTGAGATCACTTCGAGTTTAGTCTTTAATTACTCGAGGAATAAATAGAGGATTTTTCGTGGCCGCGCAGAGACACGAAATTTCTCTTCGAGCGTTGAAAAACATTTCACGAGTGAGCCCTCCTTACGAACTGTTTTATGATGAATTTAAAGTTACAAAATGCTGCACAAAGACATTTTGTCTTTGTTGAGTGTTACGTAGTAAAATTGCTTTCATGCGTTGCGTGACTTTCTCGAACGTTCTCTACGTTTTTGGATTACCATGAATAATTGATTAGGGCAAGTTTACATTTCAGCACGAGTCAACAGATTTGCATCAGTTACTGAAATCATAAAATATGTCAAAAAGCTACTACTATTCGCCTGTTTAGTATTTTCTAGAACCTTATGTCAAACGGTATTCAAGTTCCAAGCGAGTTCTTTTGACGAACTAAGTTTTTTCCCACGAGCTGGACTGCTGTGTTTAGTCAAGTGTGACGAAGGTCGATTTTCAGGTTCTGTGTTTACAAGTTCGCGGAAGCCGTAAGATATCTGAAGTTCAAGTGAGAGTTTGTTATTATTGGTAGAGGCTGTTTAGTTTTACTCGAAGTGCAAGTCAAGTCTGTTTTGGTGATGCTGTGTTTTAAAGCTCTGTAAAGGCTATGTTCCTTTGGTGTTAAACTTCCTTGTGTTAATCCGACATCCCTGCGTGCTGATAGTCAGTGAATAGTTATCCTCAAAACATTCGAACTCGTGACTTTGAGTTTTAGCCAATTCCATGCTCAACGTCATTGACTCCTTACCCATGCCTTACATATCTTTAATCAGTACATGAGACTGCTATGCTGTTTTTGAAGCCTGATGTGACTAAGAAAAATAGAGAATTGTTTTTTTTAGAAGGATTTGTACGGAGTCATCAGAGCATAACTGAGCTAATATCTCGGAGCCAATTTGTCCCGAAATGCTAGTTTTTGGCAAGTAGGCCTTTTGGATGTTTCTCTTTTCAGAATATCCTGACAAATCCCATAATTTCACAAATTAACACCTTACTCTTACCATATTTGATTTCTTACTATTCCTCGGCATTTACAATTAATTAGTTCCACAACCCCGATGCTGAAGTGTACGCTCCGTAGCGTCTTGTTCTAACTAAATCATCATTAACTAAGAGGAGCACGAAGTGGCACAATGGGCGAGCCAAATTGTAAAGCTGCTTGTCCAAAGGACAAGATGGTCATTCATTTCTTTTTAACCCTATAGGTCCAAATGAAAATTAACTAAATCAATAATTATTAAAATTATGCCACCACATTGCATTATTTTTGGTGTGGTTTTGTAGGAAATTTTATTTCAACCAGCTGTGTTGTCTTTAACAAGATTTTGGGTTTGTGGTTATTTAACAATGATATTTGGGTCATTTTGATGCCATTTTAACTTTTTTAAAAATTCTTCTAAGTGGTTTTCCCATTTTCCCACCCCCGTCCCCAATTCCTCCTACACAAAATACATGTATCAAAAAATTGTTTTTTATAACACCAAACAAATTCAGTCTTGTTCGTAGCTTACCAAGTAAGAAGGGCTCCACATTTTTGGCAAGGGATCTGGCAGCTGACGTGTTAAATGGAGTGGAGGAGTCATAATGATGAAAACTATTTGTTTGTCTTTTATACAAAAGCAAACTCCTGAAATAAATGTAGAAAACTTTGACATAAGTAATCAAGTTGTAATCACAGTTCTAGGGAGCTTAAGCAACAAAAACAGCAATGACAATGAGAACGTTAGCCTGCATAGCAAGCGTTTCCGCTTAGTTTCGGAGCAAAAAAGACCGAGGAAGGGGAATTTTGGTTTTGACTGTGTGAGAAATGAAATGAAAGCTAAAAAAATGAACAAGGTGGGAAGGGGAGGGGAAGGAAGGAAATGCTTGCAGACAAACCCCTTGATTTTGAAAACCTGCTTTCGCCAGTGAACGCAGTGCCTGATTGGCTCGGCTAGTCCAACAATATTGACATGTGTCGATCAAAGGTTTTTTCATACTGAGAGGTCATGTATGGTACGTGACACAAGATTTGCCCTCCACTGCAAGAGCATTTTCTTTGAACTCTTTTGAGCAAAATTTCTAAGAATTGATTGCACTTTAAACTGAGGCTACATAAATTTCGAAGAATTGATTACACTTTAAACTGAGGCTACATCAACTATGGAGAAGTGCATTGTGACTCTGTCAAGATTGCTGATTAAGCAATGATTACTTGGTTAATCTTTGAATTGCGACTGTTCTGTTAATGCCACTTTCTGATCAGTTGCCGGGTTAGCTTTGTTCTTAGGTGCTTTTACAAGAGCTACTCTAGTTTCTGTGTCGTGGCGAGAACTGTAAGACATTCTGTCTAGCTGAGCATTGACCTCGTATAAATATGAGTCACAGATCGAAAATACTTGACTTAAATGCTTGTCACATCTTACCACTTCAAATCCAACTTTC